GCCAAGCAGCAAGAGACTGCTAGCTGTGTGCTAAAAGCCATTTGTTTGATGGTGGATACCCCTGTGTGGGAAGCATGTTGTGGAACTTTCTTTTAAATAAAATTGGGCTAAAAGGCCTTAAAAAAAGAATAAAGTGAGTGGCTGTGTGCTGTAAAAACTCTACCATTTGATGCTAGTCCTCACAATATATACATAGTACATTCACATCAGTCCCTAACCCTCAAGAGGTGTACAATCTAAGGTCCCTAACTCACATTCATACATACACATACTAGGGCCAATTTAGACAGGATCCAATTAACCTACCAGTATGTCTTTGGAATGAAAAAAAAGCTAGAAAAATGCTGTGTATTAGCAGTGTTTAGGAGCGTTTTTTTCTGCAGGAAAAATGCTCCAAAAATTCTACAAAAACTTTTTTTTTTCTGCTCATAGACGCTGAAGCTCAAAAAATGCTAATAGCCCAAAGTAGTGTGCATGAACACATAGCATAACACTGTTTAGCTTCTAGGAGCAGAAAAAAATATGCTGATAATAGCTTTTAGGACAGGGTGTGGGCAAACTTTTTGACTTGAGGGCCGCAATGGGTTCATATATTGGACCCGGGGGCCGGACCAAGAGTAGATGAATGATGTGTATGTGTCATCCATAGTAAGTATAGTAATATTCCCCCATAGTAAGCATAGTAATTAATCCCCCATATAGTAATTCACCCCCCATATAGTAATTCATCCCCCATATAGTAATTCATCCCCCATATAGTAATTCATCCCCCATATAGTAATTCATCCCCCATAGTAATTCATCCCCCATATAGTAATTCATCCCCCATAGTAATTCATCCCCCATAGTAATTCATCCCCCATATAGTAATTCATCCCCCATAGTAATTCAACCCCAATAGTAATTCATCCCCCATATAGTAATTCATCCCCCATATAGTAATTCATCCCCCATAGTAATTCATCCCCCATATAGTAATTCATCCCCCATATAGTATTTCATCCCCCATAGTAATTCATCCCCCATATAGTAATTCATCCCCCCCTATAGTAATTCATCCCCCATATTAATTCATCCCCCATATTAAGTCCCCAAGTCCCCCCTGTGTCAATTCACTTACCTTTGCTCCACGCGTTCCTCTCGCCGTGTTCCCCGCGCCGTTCCGGTGTAGCATGAAAATCTGTCTCCTATGAGGATCTGTCCCCCTCGACGTATCTGCGCATGTGCCAGTTTCAGGCATTAGCAGCCGATCGGCGATCTCCGGCACATGCGCAGATACGTCGAGGGGGACAGATCCTCATAGGAGACAGATTTTCATGCTACACCGGTCTTCAGGGGGGACTGTGAGAGGAGCGTAGCGGGAGCCTAGCTCCGCGGGCCGGATTAAAAGGTCCGCCGGGCCGTAGTTTGCCCATTGCTGATCTAGGAGCTTAAAAAATGCTAGTGTGCATGGAGCCTTAAAGTTGCATGTTTAAAAGAAAAAAAAAAAATCAGATGTTGAAATTCTTAAACTGAAGCCATATTTCCATCATTGGAAGCTGTGGGCCTTTGGTGCTGATAACATCACTTGCTGCTTGGATCACCTCTGTTACATAGTCCCTTTTTTACTTGCTGTGGAATATTGTGGAAGGGTATAAATATGATTATAAGAATATTATTGGACTTTTGCTAATACTAAGGGAAAAATTGATAACTCCACAATGAAAAGCTGCCCCTTCTGCCACCTGTTACCAAGTGTGACTAGTAGTAAATCCTGCCCTGTCTAGCTTGCAAAGAGATTTTTTGTTTACATTCTTTGCGATGAGAGAAGAGTTAATTGGTAAAATGGCTGCTTTACAGTAACTGACACCAGTACAAATGAAGGCCTCTATTTTTAAAAGCTGGGGCAAAAAAAAAAAGGATGATGGTGATCAGTTGGGTTTTAGCTGTTATTTTACCCACTTGCCCTCCTGAGGATTTACCCCTCTTCCTGACCAGGCCATTTTTTTGTGTTACGGCAAATTTTGAGCTTTCTTTTGGTGTCATTTGATTGCCTGTGGGTTTTTCTTTTTTTTGCGCTATAAAAAAAAAAAGACAGACAATTTTGAGGAAAAAAAACAATATTTTTGACTTTTTGCTATTAAACATGTCCAGTAAAAAAATTTAAAAAAAAATCATATTTCATCATAAATTTAAGCCAAAATGTATTCTGCTACATGTCTTTGCTAAAGGAAATCCCAATATGTGTTAATTAATTGGTTTACATGAAAGTTATAGCATTTACAAATATATACTGGGCTTTTTTTTTTTTTTAAAAAAAAATGTATTTAATTACTAGTAATGGCAGCGATCAGCAGCTTATAGCGGGACTGCGGCTGGCATTCTGACACTGGGGGGGAACTGACTTGGTGTCACTGACATCCCCAGTGACACCAAAACAGTGATAAGTGCTAATAAAAAGCACTGACACTGTACTGACACTGGGCAAGAATTGGTCAACATCTGGGGTGATCAAAGGGTTAACTGTGTGCTGTGTTGTGTTTAACTGTGTGCTGGGTGTGCTTTACTGTGTAAGCACATTGCTTTGTATTGCTCTGCTATGCAGAGCAATGCAGGAGCTGACATGCTAAAAATGCACTGACACTGTACTAATGGCACTAGGCAGGAAGGGGTTCCCATGAGGGGCAATCAAAGGGTTAACTGTGTGTAGGGAGTGTTTTACTGGGGGGCGGTGTCCGTGTGCTTCACTGTTAGCACACTGCTTTGGATGGCTGTGCTATGCAATTTTTAGACATTTTGCCAAGGCACCCCAGGGTACCTGGTTGAGAAAAGCTGTGCTACAATTTTGTAATTATTGTAAAAATTCCTTTGGTAATATGAATGGATTTCTAGCAAGGTGCGGACAAAGTATTCATATTTGTCACTACTGGTAGTGAGTGCCATTTGTATTACTATTCTGTTTGGATTGTGATTGAAATATTTATCCTATAGTCACAAACAATAGCCTTGCGCAATCACAGGGAAATCTATACATTTGTGTGTCAAAGGCCCTGGTTGGATTTTTTTTTCTTTTAGCAGTGCTTGCTAGAAAGGTGTCATTGTTTTGATATTGCAGTGTGGAAAAACATGAGCTAAATAAATACCCAGCAGGTATCTGGCACAGATAATGGTGTGTATATATAAAAGGCTCCATGCACACTGGGCGTTTTAATAATGCTGGCAACGTTAGCTGTGTTTTTCAGCGTTTTTGCATTAGCGTCTAGCCACGTTTTTGGTTTTTTTTTAGCGGTTTTTGTAACTAAAAAAAAGTCCAGAACGCCAGTTTGCGGCGTTTTACCGCATTTTTCAGCATTAGAGCGTTTTTAGAGGTAAAGAACTCCTCTAAAAACCCACTAGTCGTGGGTTCCAGCCAAAAAATGTTGATTACAGTCTGTGTACATGGACACATAAGATAACATGCTGGGGAGTTTACTGGCTGTAGAAAAAAACGTCAAAAGCCAAACACACCAGCTGTAAAAAAAAAGTCCAGTGTTCATGAGGACTAAATGTTATAAGTATTCCCTTGGCTATTATTAATCTTAACCCCTTCCCGGCGGCACCTCCCAGCCCTTTAAGAGTTTTCAGACATCGGGAGGGGCATGGTTTAGGGATCATGTGACCGCCGTGACGCATCGTCGGTTCTCGGCTGCACTTTCCTCATGCTGTCAGAGCGCGAGGAAAGTACTGCCGAGAAGCGGCAGTTGTCAGAGCAGGGATCGGCACTGATCATCAAGGCACTGAGAAAGCATATATCTGAAAGGCAGCCAAGAGGCCCATTGTAACTCTGGAGGAGCTGCAGAGATCCACATCTGAGGTAGGAGAATCTGTCCACAGGACAACTATTAGTCGTGCACTCCACAAATCTGGCCTTTATGGAAGAGTGGCAAGAAGAAAGCCAGTGTTGAAAGAAAGCCATAAGTAGTCCCGTTTGCAGTTTGTGAGAAGCCATGTGGGGGACACAGCAAACATGTGGAAGAAGGTGCTGTGGTCAGATGAGACCAAAATGGAACTTTTTGGCCAAAAAGCAAAACGCTATGTGTGGTGGAAAACTAACACTGCACATCACCCTGAACACGCCATCCCCACTATGAAACTTGGTGGTGGCAGCATTATGTTGTGGGGATACCTTTCTTCAGCAGGGACAGGGAAGTTGGTCAGAGTTGATGGGAAGATGGAGGGAACCAAATACAGGGCAATCTTAGAAGAAAACCTGTTAGAGTCTGCAAAAGACTTGAGACTAGGGTGGAGGTTCACCTTCCAGCAGGACAACAACCCTAAACATACAGCCAGAGCTATGATGGAATGGTTTAGATTAAAGCATATTCATGTGTTAGAATGGCCCAATCAAAGTCCAGGCCTAAATCCAATTGAGAATCTGTGGCAAGACTTGAAAATTGCTGATCACAGATGCTCTCCGTCCAATCTGACAGAGCTTGAGCTTTTTTACAAAGAAGAATTGGCAAAAAATTCACTGTCTAGACGTACAAGGCTGGTAGAGACATCCCCAAAAAGACTTGCAGCTGTAATTTCAGCGAAAGGTGATTCTACAAAGTACTGACACGGGGGGGGGGGGGGGGGGTCTGAAAACAAATGCACACCCCACTTTTCACATATTTATTTGTAAAAAATGTTGAAAACCATTTATCATTTTCCTTCCACTTCACAATTATGTACCACTTTTTGTTGGTCTAGCACATAAAATCCCAATAAAATACATTTATGTTTTTGGTTGTAACATGATAAAATGCAGACAATTTCAAGGGGTATGAATACTTTTTCAAGGCACTGTAACTATCTGTAAAGGAGAGGTTCTTCCCAATGACCACAATTGTAAGGAGAATTCTTCATACTGACCATCACACTAATGTTCTATGAGCTGTAAATATATAATTAGCAGGGGTTCCCTAAAGCCAAAAAGTTATTTCAAGGGTTGCTCCATGTTAAAAATGTTGAGAAAGGCTGGCCTAAACCCTCTAACTCACGTGTATCAAACTGGTGGCCTGCCAAACTACAAGTCCCATCATGCCTCTGCCTTTGAGAGTCATGCTTGTAACTGTCAATCTTGCAATGCCTCATGGGACTTGTAGTTTGACAACAGCTGGAGAACCACCAGCTTGACGCCCGTGCAAAACTGCTGCATCTTCAGGACTGTTGAAAAACAATCAACTTACTTGCCAGATTACAAGGTGACAATACAATAAAGAGAGCCTAAGAAAAAACACATAAAGACATCACACCTAAGAATTGGTAAGCTGTAGTTTAAAAAAAAAATGTTTCCTGGTTTAATACCATTTTAATAACTTTTCATTGCCAAAATACACTACATGTTCTTTTCCTTCTAAGTTCATTCAGACCACAGAAGCCGTTATCTCCAATTATACAGTGGTAAATTTGTATTGGGGTTTTTTTTTTTTACATTCAATCAAAGTTAAAAAAAAAAAAAAAAAAAAAGAAAGCTAAAATAGATTAAAAATCTTCAGATGAAACATGCTTTAATAAAACATAATGAGTTACAGCAGCAATATAAAAGGTATAACATAATTCATAGCAGTGTAAAGTTCAGATATTCTCTTATTAGATATTAAAAATATTAATGCAGGGAGATCTTGACTGCCAATAAATGTATCATTACATATTTACGATTCACAAATGGGAAACTTTGAATTTGTGGGGGAGAACAAACTGTGGCTATTATATAAAGAGCCTTTGATTGTGCATGCTTCAACCAGGACAGATATTCCTCAAAGTCTGCAGAAACTGTTGCAGTAAGACACATTATGCACTTCTAAAATAAAGCTTCTTCAGCTCATCCTAAGATGCTGAGCTAATGAATGTACGAAGAGCTGATTTATTTAGGTGTGATCAAATGTGTAATGCTGCTACCAAGTACCTAGATTAAAGGTCTGGGTCCTGTAACAGCTGCCAAAATACTTTTTCGAAGGCTGTGCAGTATTTCCAGAACGTATACTTTTCTTTCTTTGATCTACAGGTGAGCTTCTTACCTGGCATTTTCAGTTCATTTGCCTGCAGCATGTAGGTTATTTATATGCCCATGCTAATTAATGAGCAGTGTTCATTATGTTGGGTCTATATTTAAAATTGTAGTTGATTATTAATTGCTCATTTACAGCAGAGGGTAGCTTTGGAAAGAATTTTCACACTTACCTGTCTGTGTGAAATAATGCTGTTCGTAAAGAGAGATCTTGCTGAATTCTCCTGCTTACGCCAGTACTTTATGTTCTGTCTAACAAGCTACTCTGCACAGAAGTTCACATTAGACTTAGTTCACTAAGCTATAACACGTGGTATTTGTCATTACAATTGTTATGTTCAGCTCTCTTTGATGAAGACAATGGCCATTATGGCGAATATAGATCATCATAGCTTAGGGAATGGCCCTCTCATTTCAAAGAAAAAAAAATTTCTACTGTGCTGATAAAGTATCTGTTTTTTTTAAAACCCCCTGCTGTAGACCTTATCATGTTTCAGGGCCAACACTTATCATTAACCACTTGCCTACCAGGCACTTATACCCCCTTCCTTACCAGGCCAATTTTCAGCTTTCAGCGCTGCCGCACTTTGATTGACAATTGCGCGGTCATGCAACATTGTACCCATATGAAATTTTGATCATTTTTTTTCTCACAAATAGAGCTTTCTTTTGGTGGTATTTTAATCGCCACTGGGCGCTTTACTTTTTGCGCTATAAATTAAAAAAAAAAGTGCAAAAAATTTGAAAAAAAAAAAAAAGTTTATTTGTTTCTTTTATAAAAATTTTTCAAACAGGTATTTTTTCTCCTTCACTGATTTGCGTTGATGAGGCGGCACTGATGGGCACTGATAGGCGGCACTGATGGGCACTGATAGGCAGCACTAAAGGGCACTGATAGGCAGTACTAATGAGGTGGCACGGATAGGCGGCACTGATAGACAGCACTAATTAGGGGTCACGGATAGGCGGCACTGATATGCAGCACTGATAGGCGGCACTGATAGGTGACACTGATGATGGGTACTGATAGACGGCACTGACTGGCATCACTTCTGGGCACTGACTGGCGGCACTGACTGGCACAACCCCTGGGCACTGACTGGTGGCACTGACTGGCAGCACTGGTGGGTGGCACTGGTGGACAGCACTGGTGGGTGGGCACAGTGGGTGGGTGGCACTGGTGGGCACAGGTGGGTGGGCACAGGTGGGTGGCACTGCTGGGCACATGTAGGTGGCACTGCTGGGCACAGGTAGGTGGCACTGCAGAGTGGCACAGGTGGGGGCACTGCTGGGCACAGGTGGGGGCACTGCTGGGCACAGGTGGGGGCACTGCTGGGAATGGGTGGGGGGGGCTAGTGGGGCGCACAGCTGATCGGAACTTGCGGGGGTCACTGCTGGGCACCGATCATCAGGGCACTGATCATCAGTGCCCTGATGATCGGTGCCGATCCCCGCTCTGACAACTGCCGGTTCTCGGCAGTACTTTCCTCACGATCTGACAGCGTGAGGAAAGTGCAGCCGAGAACCGGCACTTGCATTTTCCTGTGATCAGCGTGTCATTGGACACCGCTGATCACGTGGTAAAAGGCCGGTGGGATCGGCCTTTCACCACATCTCGTGATCAGCTGTGTCCGTAGGACACAGCGATCACGGAGATCGCCGGGTGCGCGCCCCCTGGGGCGCGCAGGAGAGCGCGTTCTGGGAGGACGTCATATGACGTCCACTCAGAACTGGGCCGGCCGCGGTGAAGCCGTCATTCGGCTATGCGCGGTCGGCAAGTGGTTAAAGTGGTCATACGCCTGGTTTACACTTATGTATTTTTTGGTGCTTTTTGCAGAAATGCACTATAGTCCATTTAACATGGTTTGCTGTGGGGCACACTCACATCTATGCTTTTTTCAGCTGCTGCATCTTTGGAAAGGGTCAGGGACTTTTTTAAACGCAACGTGTTTTTGGCTCCATAGACTATAAAGCGGAGCTCCACCCAAAAGGGGAAATTCTGTTTTAAGGACTGCTCCCAATTAAGGATTGGCATCTTTTGGGGGGGGGGGGTACCTGAATTTGACAGGTACCCGCTCCCACTTCTGGTCCGATTGCCTAGGCCAGTGGTGGGCAACCTTTTTTTTCAACTGAGCCAAATCTCGCCAAAACCACGATTGAAATTTATTTTGAGAGCCACATTTTTAAAACTGAAAATACATAGGATGGTACACTGTTTTTAGTTTCAATAAGTTTTTATAGTAATTCATCCCCCATAGTAATTCATCCCCCATATAGTAATTCATCCCCCCTATAGTAATTCATCCCCCCTATAGTAATTCATCCCCCCTATAGTAATTCATCCCATATATTAATTCATCCCTCATATAGTAGTAGTAAGCCAAGTCCCCCCTGTGTCAATTCACTTACCTTTGCTCCGCGCGTTCCTCTCGCTGTGTTCCCGCGCCGTTCCGGTCTTCAGGGCGGACTGTGAGAGGAGCCTAGCTCCTCTCACGTTCGTCACGCTGCCCCGCTTACACACATCCTGACAGCCAATCACTGGCTATCAGGATGTGAGTGGCAGCGAGACTGGCCAATCATTGCATTTGAGCGCGCTGCCCTGGCTGTTTTTTTTTTTTTGGATCACGCTGCAGAGTCCCTGCCGCCCGAGAGGAGGGAGGGGAGCGGGCGCCCGGCACACAAGAGCCGCATTAAAGCGTGTAAAGAGCCGCATGTGGCTCGCGAGCCGCGGCTTGGCGACCACTGGCCTAGGCGATCGGAAACAGAAGGTGTCCTCCCTCCCTGTAGTCTTTTGGGACACGTGACAGGTCCCAGAAGACTACAGGACCATTCATGATGCGCAGCTCTACTCACGCATGTGCAGTGGGTACCCGGCTGTAAAGCCACAAGCTATCATAGCCGGGTGCCCACACTGAAGATGTGGCCTCCTGGAATACAGGACGGCGGGTGAAACGGGCTGCAGGGGACTCACCGCGGGACCAAGGGACAGGAAAGTGGCTGTTTTTTAAAAGTCAGCAGCTACATCTTTTGTAGCTGCTGACTTTTTTTTTTTAACAGTGTGAGTGGAACTACGCTTTAATGTCGATGCTGCTTAAAAAGCATGTAGTGTGGTTTTTATGCATTTTGCTTTTTTTAATCTGCCCAACAACAAATTGGCCCAAAGAAAAGCATAAGAAATGCAAAATGCATCAGAAAATGCGTGTGCAAAAACGTATCACAAAAAGCACTGTGTAAATGGATCAAAAGCAAACTGCATAGGTGTGAAACAGGCCTAAAAGCTGAGGATTTTTTATTTTTTACCTTAATGCATTGTATGCATTAAGGTAAAAAAAAAACCTGAATGAAGGTCCCCCTTATACTTATCTGAGCCCAACCTCCATCCAGCGCTGTGCATGTGAGCAGCGGCTATCTCAGCTCTCTCCCTCCTCATAGGCTCAGAGACGATCACAGCCACTGATGAGGAAGCGGGAGGCAGGGCTGAGCCGCGCTGTGTGTGTCTATGCACACACACATTAAACTTGGTAGCGAACCGCACATGCACCCCCAAGCAGCTTGCTATGGTGGGCACTCAACGGAGGGGAGGAGGAGCCAGGCTTGCTGGCGGTGGAACCCAGAAGAGGAGAATTGGGGCTGCTCTTTGCAAAACCATTGTGCATAACCGGTAAGTATGACGTGTTAATTTTAAAAAATTATGGGTTTACAATCGCCTTATGCACAATAGGTTAAAGAGGTATATTTTTTCAGCCACACATTATTTTCCATGTCGTCTAAAGTATATCTAAACTCAAAGCCAAAAATGTAATATATTGCAGTGGTGGTGTGGTGGCTGCATTCATTTTCTTCATTCAAGGTTGTTTTGCTTTATTTTTCACCTGGTAATCCCCTAAATAATGTCACCCCACTACTGAATCTCTGGAGGGAGCCATGGTTGTCTTCCTAGGCTGCTTTGCTGAGATGGACTCCAAATATGTCTGTATCTCTTAATCTCCATTACATGGGAAGACAGGGCAATTGGTAGTGTACAGAACATAGCTGGGAAGGAAGATATTTTACAGTGCAGTTCACAGGAAGTGACGAGGACAATGCATTTCAACTGGTATTTGCTGAAAATGTTCTACACTTGAAAAAAGAAAACCAGGGCAGTTGGGAAAATTAGT